ATGTATGTTTAGTTTATCAATTCTACACCACGTTCGATATTAAAAATTCAATGTACTTCAATTAAGACTGTCAATAGATTAGATTTTGATCTGAATCCAATGAAATTAATGGGAGATAGATTTAGTGTCCCAATCCGATAACCCAATCGAGCTTCGAATTCGATAATTCGTTAACTAAATGAATCAATAGATTGGATTTTGATCTGAATCCAATAAAATTAATGGGAGATGGATTTAGGGTTTTAATTCGATAACCCAATCAAGATTCAAATCCGATAATCCATTAACTAAATGAATCAAATATGGATATAAGTCATTCCGATCTGACATCTCCACTCACATCCATAACGATTCTAGTGAAACATCTTTGTACATCCCCACCCCTCCACCATCACCATCTCCGCTACTCTCTGTCACTGTTTGGGACCCCTATCGCCTGCATACTATATCTCTTCGGATATGACTCTGACCCTCCTCATCGATCAATGGTGTCAGTTCAGTGAGCAATTCAAGCTAACATATTAACATTTCACCGAGTTAATGACCATGCATCAAGTTTTCAAAATGACGTACAACATAAATCACAAATAAATAATATGTATCTCAGGATCGTTGAGGAGAGCTGATAACTGTCAGTTTTGTCCCCATGGATAGTTGTTGAATGTGTCAATGTCATCAACAACCTCTAAATGAAAGACATTGATCGACGTCTTCTTGTGATGATACTTCAGTATGCTCTCTAGTATAAACACCATTCCCAACTTCAACTTGTTAAACATATCGTCGCATTCCTTGAATGCATATCCTAACTGTGCCAGAGTTACCGTCATAAACAGGATCGGTGTAACAGGTCTGTGTGCTCCTCATCCAAAAAATCAAGAACTAATGCGAAATTGGCAAAATTATAGTTCGACGTAACTTTGTCGGGTATCTGTCTCATGGCAGCTTCCAAATGGTAATCCATCTTATAAAATTTAAATAATATATATTTCTTTGTTATTTATGTCAATTAATTATTTTTATTACTTAATTAACATTTAAGTTACTTGTTTATTGAATTTATTTCAATTAGTTATTTATTTTATCAATTAATTATTTTAATTGTTTTATTAATATTTTTTTAATTTATTTCAATTAGTTATTTATTACTTATTTAAATAAACAATATACATAAATAATTAACATAATTCATGAAATATTTAAATAAACAAATAAAGTATAAAATGAATAATTATATGTTAAACAAATAATATGCATAAACAATTAAAGTAATTACTTAAATAAACAATTAAATTAAATATTGATTTATTAAATTACTTATTAAATATTTAATTTAATTTTTTATTTAAATATCTCATTAATTATTTTAATTGGTTATGTATATTGTTTGTTTAATATTTAATTAAGTATTTTAATAGTTTATTTCACGTTTATTTACTTCATTTAATTATTTATATTAGTTTCTCATTTATTTTAATTGTTTATTGAATATTCAATTGTTTATTATATTTATTTCATTATTTATATTTTAAATAAAATGAAATAAAAATTTAATTATTTTACTTAAATAAACAATTTACATAATTCATGAAATATTTCTAAACAATTAAATTCAATATTAAAAAAAAAAGGTTGGCACGTTGGGCCAATCCAAACGGTTAAATCCAACACTGCCGTGAAGCTAATAAAGTTACAGTTGGACGTAACTTTACCAGGAATCTGTTTCAAGGCGGCATCCAAATAGTAATCTATCCTGCAAAATTTCAAATATTAGAACATTAGAAACATAATATCACAAAATTCAACTAACCAAACTCTAAGTAATATACGCATGAAATAACAGATAATAAAGAAAATAAATTACAAAATTAGACAATGAATTATAAAAAGAGAAAAAATAAATTATTTATTTCATAGTTTATTTTAATTCTTTATTATTTATTTCAATTCTTTATTTAATTAATTTTGATTATTTATATTTAATTACTTATTAAAATAAATTATTTTGAATAATTATATTTCCTATTAAAATATATTACTTATTTAATTACTTATTTAAATAAATTATTTTGAATATTTATTTCAATTAAGTATTAATTACATATTTTGATTATTAACATTTATTCATTATTTACATTTTTATTTTTATTTTTGGCATTCCAATTAATTATTTATTCCAATTGTTTTTCATTTATTTGATTCAATTGTTTATTTAAATTATTTGATTTAATTATTTATATTGATTAATTATTTAAATTATTTATTGAACAAGTAAACGTAAATATTTAATTTTTATTTTAAATGTTAGAAATTTATTTCAATTAAATTTTAATTACATATTTTGATTATTAACATTTACTCATTATTTACATTTATCATTTAAATAATCATTTAATTATTATTTAAATGTTCATTATTTATTTTTGTGTATTTCAATTAATTATTTATTCCAATTGTTTTTCATTTATTTGTTTCAATTGTTCATTTAAATTATTTGATTTAATTACTTATATTGATTGATTATTTAAATTATTTATTGAACAAGTAAATGTAAATATTTAATTTTTATTTTAAATTTTTGAAATTTATTTCAATTAAATTTTAATTACATATTTTGATTATTAACTTTATTCATTATTTACATTTTTCATTTATCATTTAAATAATGATTTAATTATTATTTAAATGTTCATTATTTATTTTTTTGCATTTCAATTAATTATTTATTCCAATTATTTTTCATTTATTTGTTTCAATTGTTCATTTAAATTATTTGGTTTAATTATTTATATTGATTAATAATTTAAATTATTTATTGAACAAGTAAACGTAAATATTTAATTTTTATTTTAAATATTAGAAATTTATTTCAATTAAATTTTAATGACATATTTTGATTATTAACATTTATTCATTATTTACATTTTTCATTTATCATTTAAATAATCATTTAATTATTATTTAAATATTTATAATTTATTTTTGTGCATTTCAATTAGTTATTTATTTCAATTATTTTTCATTTATTTGTTTCAATTGTTCATTTAAATTATTTGATTTAATTGTTTTTATTGATTGATTATTTAAATTATTTATTGAACAAGTAAACGTAAATATTTAATTATTTATTTTAAATGTTAGAAATTTATTTTAATTAAATTTTAATTACATATTTTGATTATTAACATTTATTCGTTATTCATTATTTACAATTTACAATTTTCATTTATCATTTAATTATTATTTAAATGTTCATTATTTATTTTTGTTCATTTAAATTAATTATTTATTCCAATTATTTTTCATTTATTGGTTTCAATTGTTCATTTAAATTATTTGATTTAATTATTTATATCGATTGATTATTTAAATTATTTATTGATCATGTAAATGTAAATATTTAGTTTTTATTTTAAATGTTAGAAATTTATTTCAATTAAATTTTAATTACATATTTTGATTATTAACATTTATTCATTATTTATATTTTTTATTTATCATTTAAATGATCATTTAATTATTATTTAAATGTTCATTATTTATTTTTGTGCATTTCAATTAATTATTTATTCTATTTATTTTTCATTTATTTGTTTCAATTGTTCATTTAAATTATTTGATTTAATTATTTATATTGAATGATTATTTAAATTATTTATTGAATAAGTAAAACGTAAATATTTCGTTATTTATTTTAAATGTTAGAAATTTATTTCAATTAAATTTTAATTACATATTTTGATTATTAACATTTATTCATTATTTACATTTTTTATTTATCATTTAAATAATCATTTAATTATTGTTTAAATGTTCATTATTTATTTTTGTACATTTAAATTAATTATTTATTCCAATTGCTTTTCATTTATTTGTTTCAATTGTTCATTTAAATTATTTGATTTAATTATTTATATTGACTGATTATTTAAATTATTTATTGAATAAGTAAACGTAAATATTTAATTATTTATTTTAATTGTTAGAAATTTATTTCAATTAAATTTTAATTACATATTTTGATTATTAGCATTTATTCATTATTTACATTTTTCACTTATCATTTAAATAATCATTTAATTATTATTTAAATGTTCATTATTTATTTTTGTTCATTTAAATTTATTATTTATTCCAGTTATTTTTCATTTGTTTGTTTCAACTGTTCATTTTAATTATTTGATTTAATTATATATATTGACTGATTATTTAAATTATTTATTGAACAAGTAATCGTAAATATTTAATTATTTATTTTAAATGTTAGAAATTTATTTCAATTAAATTTTAATTACATATTTTGATTATTAATATTTATTCATTATTTACATTTTATTGATCATTTAAATAATCATTTATTTATTATTTAAATGTTCATTATTTATTTTTCTGTATTTAAATTATTTATGGAATACAACGAAAAAAAATTGAGGTAAGCCATCTAGCCCAGCTATTGCTTCTGGGCTGTCTAGAAAATAGACGTCTCAGCCGGCTGGCCGTCCTTTCCTCCCTTTCATCTCTGGTCTGAGTGCCGGAGATCGCCATTTTGGCCCAAAATACGTCAAAAAATGTCATTTTCAGTAATTTTACATAATTTACAAAGATTTCTACCACTATCTTCAACAAGATTTCTTCCCTTTCTTTTTCAGACGTCGGTTTGTGAGTGATTTGTTAGGGGCAATATTAAGTTTTCATTGTTTTTAAGGTTTTTCCAGATTTTTTAACTTTTTTTTTTAAATAGTAGCCAACGGCCATTTTGGAAAAATGTCTTTTTTTGGTGGTTATTTGTCACCATTTCCTCCCGCTTATATAATATTTTATGTACAAGTAGCAAAATCCAAATCAATATAGAGATAAATATAATAGTATAAAATGAATATTTTATTTTATTACATGCATATATAATGGACTATGGCACTCTTCTGACAAGGCCCAATAAAAAAGTTGTATTTGGATTGAGCCCATATGATCCGTATACGTATAAACTGTATTTTCTTTGTGGAAACCTTTATTCAACTGTAACAAGCATCGTTCCAGGAAACCAGTAAAACTCATCCAATCATCAAATCCCCAATATTTTCCTTTTTCAGAAACCGAAGATTCCACCCCATAACGATTATATTGTCGACTGGGTACGTTATTTCATGATTGGCTCTTTTTATGAAATTACACTCTCCGTTCTGTTCTTTAAATTCTTTTTTCCATTTAATTAGTGTTATCTGGGCACAATGTTTATGATTCAAAGATTACTGAAATGGGTTTCTTTCTTAAATCTATACGCTCCATTATGAAATTATTGGATTGTCTTTTTTTGGCTTCCATTATTCTGTTCTTCCAAGATTTCTAGCATTTTTGTTAATTGTGGCTTGGCATTGTTTCGAGACATGTGCGCTGAAAATTTGTACAGTTTCTTGTCAGATTCCTGCATAATATCAGCTAATTTGTTGACCAAGAAGCTTTTATTGTTTGATTTTTGGAAAAAAGGAAAGTCTTTTGGTTGGTATTGGGAGAGTAATTTTGGATCCGAAAAGATACTGTAGTGGGGGAATTGAAGTTCCAAAATTGGACTTGAAGAAATGAAAAGTGAAGTGTGGAGATGGGCTGTGGGATTGTTTTATATATTCTTAGTTGCAACTATATGGATTGCTGCTAGTTTTGTGGTACAGACGGTTGTAGATGGAGGTGTGTCACCATTTCTTGTAACATATATTTGCAATTCGTTGTTTGTTGTGTATATTCCTTTAGTTGAAATCGGGCGTTATTTGGAGGATAAGTATGGAAGTGGAAGTATATTCTTTTGGTTAAATAAGAATGGTGGTGGTTTTCAAGAAATAGGGACTTCGGAGGAGGTGATTCTTCTCGATGTGGGTGGTCACAGTTTAAGTACAGATGTGGTAGCACAACAAGATCAAGTGGATCACCATGAAGAAGAAGTTTTTTCCACACATGGTACAATTGCTCATGATGCTAATGATGCTGGATTGGATGCAAAAGGGCGTTGGACACGTAGGAGAGTTGCAAGAGTTAGCCTAATGATATGCCCATTTTGGTTTCTGGCACAACTCACATTTAATCTTTCTCTGAAGTATACTACGGTTACGGTAAGAATGTTTTTATTTTATTTATTTATTTATTTTTAAATAAATTCATTGGATTGTCTAAACTATTCTACTTGTAATGTAATATTATAATCCTTTTTCTCAATTTGTACAGTCTAATACCATCCTAAGCAGTGCCTCCAGTTTGTTCACCTTTCTAGTTGCACTTGTATTCTTGGGTGAGAAGTTCACTTGGGTGAAACTGATCAGTGTTCTGCTTTGCATGGGAGGAACTATAATTGTCAGTTTAGGTGACTCAGAAACAGGATTGAGTTCAATTGCTTCAAATCCAGTTCTTGGAGACATTCTCTCTCTAATATCTGCAAGCTTTTACGCCGTGTATATTACTCTTATTCGGAAAATGTTGCCTGATGAAGATGATGCAGAAAAGGGCTGTGCAAGTATGGCACAGTTTCTTGGAATTTTAGGTTTTTTCAACATCTTGATATTCCTTCCTGTTGCGCTTGTACTTGACTTTACTAAACTGGAACCTTTCAACACGCTTACCTGGAAACAATTTGGTCTTATTGTGGGTAAAGGTATATCTAAGTAAACTTTTAGCCATTGGAGTCCAATCTTTGATGTATTCTTTAATTTCTTCAAGTCTTATTCTGCACACCCATTTACGTGCTTTAGCCTCTGGCATTAATGCTTTCCAACTTTCTAAAGTTGATGCACCGAAGTTCATTTCAGGTTTTTATTAAGGTATACATATTTTGATTTGCTACATCATTTCTTATTACCGTAGTATCGTTTAATATTTGAATTCACAGCTACACTATTTGTTGCATTCAGTGAATTGTTAGAATGAACTCATTTTGATATAAAACCATGCTCACATTCATCACCATGCTACCTGATGTCTAGATAGGGGCTTATTTTCTTGGATAAGTGTATTTTGCTACACAAAATTCCAGTTGCGAACTTCTGGGGCTATCATGAACCTTGAAGATATAAGAAACAAGAATCTCTTAGTTGAAGTCAAGAATATTGCATTTGTTTAGGGTTTAAAGTTTATCTGATCAAATTTCTTCATTTGGCATAATTAACTATTATTAGAAACCGGACTATACCTTTTCCCCCTTCACCCACTATGGTTATATCTGAAGGGAAGTTGTTCTAGAGTGTTTTTATATCTGAACTATAGTCTTTATCTCAGTTCTATGCCTCAAGCATGACAAAATTAGCGGTCGGTCTAGAGGACTTTGTAAAAATAGATAAAAGGTCACAAATTTGGAGATGCACAAAGACAGGAAATTGTTAATATTATTAACTTCTTTTTCATGATTATCCTTTTCCCATTGATCTGGTGGAAGGAAAAGAAATCTCAGGAGATTGTATCTTGAAGAGGGTAAACAAGAGAACAAGACTAGATATATGTCTTCTTCCTGTGACTGCAATTCACTTATCGAAACCAAATTACATTCTTCCTCATTTTTGAACTTCATACAATCTCTGACAATCGAAATGCAATAGAGAATAAGGAGACTTAGTTGCACGTTGTCTCTCAGCTATGAGTGCCAGAAGTTATCAAAAGATGCATATCTTTCACCTTGAGAAAGAAAGTGGGTTGGATTAGTTATTGTTACTACAGGTAGAGGCTTGGAGAAATCCAAATAGAGATGCTTATTCGAGCAGCTTTTTTATTGTTTTGAACTGCAAATTTAGGCTTTATGCCCAACACTTGGAGTAGCATACATGAATCCTTTTTCTTCTCTGTGTTTGGTCCATAGGTGTGTGGAAATCAAGTCTTTTGTTAACCGCTTCAGGTCGTGTTAACTTTGGTCTATCTCTTCCTCTTATGATTGCAATTTAAGTCCTCATCATAGTTTATCCTCAAAATCGGCTCACTTTTACTTGTTGGCATATTTTGTCATTTTATATTTTTCCCTTTTTATTATGGTCACGCATCCATTTTAATCCACATTTTTTATTCACATTGTCGACTTTTTATACTTTAACTCAACACTAGTTACGAATAAAGAGTAGTTGTCTAAAAACCATTCTTTATAACTTGTTTAGCTTCTTTTCTATAACAAAATTATTAATAAGAAGAAACAATTACAACATAAAAGACCAAGAATCTCGAATATTAAATGAAAGATAAATATATAAATTAATGTATTGAGCATTGATTGTGATTGAGTTTGGTCTTTATTAGCTTCTGTCAGTAACGACTGGAGAGTGATCATATATTTTCTTCTGTTTTCTTTTGCATGTTTATATTATAATTTTTACCTTTGAATATCATGGGTCGCATTATATACATGTTGTCACATGCAAAATTGATAACTTAGATTTCAAACTTCCACATTCAGGTTTGCTGGATAACGTGTTGAGTGATTACCTATGGGCCAAGGCCGTCCTCCTTACAAGCACCACTGTAGCAACAGCTGGTCTTACAATTCAGGTTCCTTTAGCGGCCATCGTGGATTCAGTGACTGGAAATGCACCCCGTCTCTTGGATTACATTGGAGCTGCAGCCATAATGGTTGGTTTTGCCGGCATCAACGTTCCTTCTCAAGCCTGTTTCGGAACATAAGAAGCCAATCTTGAACTCGAGAATGGAAACGCAGGTCCATCTGGCCAAGATGGCTTGTCGTCAAGGTAAATAGGCCCCCTTGTCCTATGTCAAGAGTACAGTTGAAATGTAATCATAGAAAATGAATTGCAGAAAGTTTATGTAGTTCGATTCTTTACCACTTTTGGATGGATTAGTCTCAGATGGACTGTGCAACTATACTGCAACATAGAAAAATATGGGGCGACACAGAGAAAATACGAATGTCATTTGAAAATTTGTAATTTTTTGTTATTCACTGTTCTCTTCATTCTAGATGGGAGAAAATTTTTAGGAATGAATTGAAATTATCGGTTGATTTAATCCCTGTGAATTCACACGAGGTGGAGGTGTAATAATAATCTTTCCAAATTCGTGTTTAATACCTATGTAGCTACTCTGCATCTGCTGATTCCGAGCTCGAGGACAAAAGAAGCACTCGAATAGAATCTCTCGTACCTAAAATAAAGACAACGAGGAGTGACCTCGTTGCGTTCTACAGCTTGTTTGGGAGTCATTTTTTGACCGTTATTTCACCATTTCAGTCGTCATATTTGATTTCTTCTCTTACAGGTGGACATCACTTTTCTCCTAACTGTCAAAAAATCAATTTTCAAAATTACTCTCAAACAGGCTCCTAATGTTTAAGTTAGCGAGAGGCGAAAATATAAGCATAAGACTGTAAATTGAATGTAAAAACATACTTGAATAATGATCTAAGATTTTGTATTTATAGTGAAAAATTGTACACTCCTAGTAGGATTAAGCCTCTATTTGATTCTCATTCTTTGAAAAAAAATACATTCTTAAACAGTGTTGTAACATCATTTCAATCACACATTTTTCAATAAAATAATATTTTATGTAAATCCAAATTTTTTCTTTATTTTTTAACTACACATTTCCTATTAATATACTATTCAAAAATTCATTCTTATCAAAAGAATGAGGCTCAAACTAGGGCAAAATAGTGCACTCTTAGCAGGATAAGTAATTGAGCATCCTTATCTTATTAAAGAGTTGTGAAGTGGTTGAGTGTCTTTCTATACCTAAAAATTGTAATTTGATTGAAGTTGTGAAATAGAGTATTTGGATGAGCATAAAACGCTTCCGGTAAAGTCCAATTAGATTAATATCAATGGTTTCGTTAATGGACTTAAATCACCTCCTCGGGGGTCATGCACGCCATCTCGAGGAGCCTCAACCCCAATGATCAAAGGGCTTCAAGCTCGAGCTAGTGCTCACTAATACGAACCCGAGGACGTTCTGACCTAGAGAGAGAGAGAGTGACTTCAAGCCCGACCACATAAACTCGATGATGTTCCAGCTCTATGAGAGTGCACGAGGTTATTATGACCTCGAGCATGAGATCGTGTATGGTCGTGTCATACAAAAATTGTACATTTCATAGGCACCTGTGCATCCATGTCAGGAACTCGGTTGCAATGTGGAAGTTTTTTGAATGAGATGCATAAGGACATTAGGTTCAAAAATAGGTATGCTCATACCGAGTTGATAGACGCCCGAGCACATATATGTAGGATAGCATGTTTCGACCATTTTAAAAAAATTTAAAAGAAAGGAGCTTGATCTTGACCTTTGTTAAAAATTATGAAATGAACAAGGCTTGGCCCAACCTTGTTAAAAATCTGAAAGAAACTCGAGCTTTGTTAAAATGAATGCTTAAAAAGGTCCAATGAATGTTTAAAAAGGTTTAATCGAATATTGAGCCTTGTTTTTCCTCGTGAGCTAAAGTGTAAAATATATCGTAAACCAAATATATATATATATAACGCAAAACAAGCGCATAATAAATCATAAAAAATGTACAAATATATTGCAGAATAATAAAAAGTGTACAATTGAACAAAAGAGAAATTTATTAATAATATAAACGAAGTTGAGTGTTATCCAAGTGGATTTGAAAACAAATTTTCATGTGCTTAGTAGCAAAGTGCGATTTACAATGTAGGTTAATCGGAATTTTTAATATTTCATGGGTACACACCTAAAGCAAAGTAAGCCCCCCATTAAATTAAGTGTTTGTTTGGTATGAATTTTGAGAATTAATTTTTTGATCGTTAGAAATAAAGTAGGTCCTATCTGTCAGAAAAGAATTCAAAAATAACGATTGAAATAATAAAATAAAGGTTAAAAAATTGATTTTAATTGGCTTAAAATCCCCACCAAATAAACACTAAATTTCATTTTTTTTCCTCCTATTTTTAATCACATAATCTTTGATAAAATATATTAATGTAAACAAAAAAAAAATTTCCTTCTTTTTCAATTACTTATTTTTCAAAAAAAATACTATTTCGTCTATTTTAATTTGAAAAAATGGGACCAAACAGGTTAAATAAATTTAAAAAAAAAAAAAAGGAACTCATGCTTCACAAGCTTTGAGGCATGTTCCTGACTTATTTGAAGTGTACGCACTCTAAAACTTTCTCACAATCAGCGCATTTAATGCATTTTTTCTTCACCTTACTCTTACTCTAAGGCGGTAATGCTATTTAGTGCATGTGTAGATAATAAGTGAGTCATATAAAATGCTTTGTGTTAAAAAAGTGATATATATATATATATATATTATTATTATTATTTTTTTGAGAGAATGCAAGATGAAACGTGAAAACAATTTTTTTTTTTTTTTTTAAAGAATGCGTGGTTAAAAACGAATATAGGAAATGATTATTTTCAAACAAGAGCAAAATGTGTAGATAAAAAGTAATGTTTATCAGCTTTAAAAATTAAACTTTTCCAAACATGCACTTACTATTTATTATTATTGAGCATCTAATGTGTTCAAAACATAGTAGCAGATCATTTAGTTATTATATAACAATTTTTATTCTAAGAAGGGCGAGTTAGCCAAAATTTTTGCTATACGAAGGTTGGGTTTGTGAAGTCAATTAGTCGAAAGTGCATATCATCATAGATTTCGATTTTAAGGATGAGCTCTAAAACGTCCACCCCTTTGCAGTGGCGGATCCAAAATTTTGAGTTAGCATGAGCGACCATTGACCGTCGGTCGTCGGCCCAATAAAATATTACAAGCTCGTTTAATGTAATTTTTTTTTGGCAAAAAATGCATTTTGGAAAATAGTGATTTGATGGAAAATATGTGGTTAAAAATAAGAAAAAATTTTGAATTTCGTGTAATATTATTTTATTAAAGAATATTAAAAGAGAGAAAAATATATTCTGAAATAAATGGGAATCAAACAAGACCTAAAATTTAAACATAACAATTATTTTGTTAAAATTGAGCATATATAATTTTGTTAAAAGAATAAACAATACTCATCGAATGACATTGTTGCCAAATTTTATATAATTCAAAAGAAGAGCTCGAGTTCAAATATTCATTGTTGCAGTAAAACAAGCTAAGATGTAATATATACAATTTGTTAAATCAATCATAACAATTCAACAAGTAGCATAATGGTCAAACCACTAATAATTTTAACAATAGCTCCAGGTTCGAATCTCCTCCTCCTCATTCTATTTATTTTAAATTGTAAAACTAAAAAAATGGAACAATAAAAATTGATTGTTGGAGGATCGAACTTGAGACCTGCAAGGTGAAAAAACCAACGCTAACCAAATTGGGTAGAAGCAAGACTTGAATGGAGAATGATTATTAAAAATTTAACCTAAAAAATTCATCTATTGTCAACCAAAAAAAATGGCTGCCGATGGATCTAGCAGGCGCGGCCGCGGGTGCTCGTCAAGTGCTAGATCCGCCAGTGCCCCTTTGTGTCCTTTTTTTTTTATTAATGCAACCAATGGTATTTCGCCCTTGTTCGAGTCCCATTTTGAGGGGAAAATGTATTTTCTAATATTGTATTGATAAAAAATGTATTGTTAAAATATAAAAGAAAAGTTTTAAATTTACATGTAATATTATTTTATTAAAAAATGTGTGATTGAGGTGATGTCAAAATACTATTTATGTATGTATTCTTTTAAATAATGAGACTCATACAAGGGCTTTAATGGATTGCACATTATAGCCCTCGTTTGTTTCCAATTATTTTGCCATTAAAATGAAAAATATGATCATTATTTATCACATCAAACCATCATATTTAAATTTCTATTTTCTTGTGTGAGTTTCATAATAGTTATTTTTTTATTTTTATTCTTACGTTAATGAGAAATAAACGGAGCCATAATATGTTCACCACGCGAGGTTGTAATATAATTAATTAAGGCCCCGTTTGGTAGGGATTTTTTGCTCCAAAAAATTGATTTTTTGACCGTTATTTTACTATTCAAGCCGTAATTTTT